GAGGAGCAGCAATCAGTCAGAGCAGCTGACTGCAATACGGTGAATGTGCTCACGGGCAGTGGATAGTGTGGTAGGGATCAGCCTGGTAGGTCAAAGGTGCTGTGTGGCTCTGTCACACTCCCAGGGTGTCCTATGGATGTGCTGTATTCAGGTCTGTACAGCACAGTGTCACATCCCACAGTGACCTGGGGCCGTGAGTGCTTAGGAGGGACTACATCCTTCTGAAGTGCTCCATGGAATTTCACTATTTGCTCTTATGTTTTCTTCTGCTGGAGTCAGAAGCGCTTGGCCTTGTGCTTCTTGAGTGCTGTTTGTGATTCAGCAAGTGGATCTGCCTCTCCTGAAGGGAGGGTGATGGATGACAGGCTGGAAAAAACCTGTCCCTGAATCTCTTTGCAACCTGATGTGTGTGCAGGCTTATATCTGGGCAGGCTCAGGTGCTGCCTGGGTAGGTCATTGCCAGTCTGTGTTAGTGAGGTCTGAGCTGGAGTGCCACTGGAGCTGCACACCTGGCAGTGTGTCATACACCTCAGCTCCACGTGCCCTTGGGTGCCCAGAGATCTCACGAGTGTGATGAGAACTGACAAAATCTGGAAGAGCACCTGGTCATGGTGTGTTGGAACACACCCTGATTATTACGTTGCTGATAATTTTGCCTTTTTCCTGCTTTCCGTAAGGCTGGATCTCACCAGTATCATGGCCAATTCATGTGGTCTCACATGATGCTTTCATCAACACAAAACCATTTGGTCTCTGGCAGATTTAGATAATCTTTGGAAATTATCTAAATATAGAGAAATACCTAGGATAGGCAAAGGTGAGTTCCTGAGCAGGGATGTTCAGCCAGAGGGTACCACTAGCTTGAGGAAGAAAACCAGAATTTGGCATTTTTGAGGCAGTAAAATATAAGTGTTCCTTGGCAGGAAATTCCACTGCAGCAAACTATCTAGGAGCACGTCAGGAGTGAGTGCATGGGAAAAGAGATCTCAGCATGACCTGGATAAAGAGCAAAGCTGGTACTAAAAGCTCTGGCAGTAAGAGAAATCCAGGCGATGGAGCATAGCTAAAAGGCAGGTATCTTTTAAGAGCAGAAATGATTGTTTCTTACTCCATTCCATAGAAGAGGAACTGTCATGATATGAACAACTGCTTTTGGCATCCGTGTGTGGAAAGAGGTGTGTGATCAGTGTAAGTTTTGGGGCATAGCCCATGGAAACCTCCCTACTTGGGGCTGGAAAGGCTGATAAAGCATTTAATGAAGTGCTGCCCAAGTCCCCTGGTCTCATGTCACACCAAAGGCCTCAGTGGGTGATTTATGCCAGGGACTGAAGTACACAACCTAACACGGTAGGATAGCAAGGGAGCTGTTGTTATAAGCAGCAAAAAGGTGGGAAGATGTTTTGGAAATCTGACCTGAAGAACAAGTTTAGTGAATGAGCCCTCGCCCCCAGTGATGAGCTGACTGGCCACACCAGTGCCGCAGGGTGTGGAGGGTTGGAACAAAATGTATCTCCCAGTGTGGCAACTCCAGTAAATACCTGGTGTCAGAGAAATGCATCCAAGCACCATCTCTGCGATGTTCTGATTGGGATGTTGGCATCTGTGCCAATATCAGTAATGAGACAGAAAAGTCCTTTTCATTTGCTTTGCTGCATTCAGTTTTAGTCCTGGCTCTCAGGGACCATGGTGTGTGCGACCTGCACATGTGAAGCATTCTCTCTTTTTCTTATCTGTTTAATCTATGGTCTTTGGTTTCTGCTAAAGCACATAAAAAATGTTTAAAAATAATGAAAAAAGCTCACTAGTGTGAGGATTACCTGTAAATTCAACACTGAGTTTTTAAATTAAATCCAAGGACGTGTTTCCTTGGCTGTTAACCTGGATGTTAACCTGCCAGGCAAGTGGGTATCCATGGCCAGTTCCATACATCAAACAGTATGGAAAGTTTCAGTGCACAAGGCCTGATTTTACAATTTTTGTGCCTTTAAACTTTCATCAAACTGAGATGCAGTCTGGGGATAAGCACTGGGTGCAGATGCTGAAAAGGGCTCATTGATGAGCAAGTTAACACAACACTAACAAAGGAATTGATGTCAGGCTTCACTGGTTTGTATGTTCATTAAGTTTATTTGGCTGTTGTCTGCTTGAATCCTTGGAGCTTTTTCAGTTCCTTGTGGAAAAGAGCAAAATATACAATCATTGTTTAGTTTATTTTTTCAGACTTGTCCACATTAAATAGCAAGTTAATTCAGTAGAGATGCAAGACATATAAATGTATAGTTTCATATAAATGTATAAACATCAACACAGAATATAGACTATATACCACATAAGCAACATACACAGTGCAAAAAATTGTCTTCCATCAATACTCTGATTATATGATCTTCTGAATACATCATGTTTATTCAGGAATGTGTTTTAGGGACATAGGGAGGAATTAATGTAAAAGCAATAGAGACTTGAAGATACCCCACAATATGGGGTCCTGGTGGGCAGCTGGGTCAGGGCTTCCTGCTGTCTCTCCACTGCTGGAAGGTTTTCTTGTGGTTCTGCTTGCTCAGCCTGAGTTAGGACAGTCTGACCTGGCCTTCCCTTTCCCTTCTGGACACCTGCTGGAAATGACCCAGACACCCCTTAGCCACCATGCTGTGTGCAGCCCCACTCTGTGCTTGGTGGACACCACATCAAAGGGAGACACCTTGATTTATTTTTCCCCCCAGGTAATATTTGCTTGCTTAAGAAGAGCAGTTGAAAAATACTTTCATCCTTTTCATTGCTGACCTTACTAGATGGCTCCCACCCAAGGACTTGCATAAATGCCCCCGTCCCAGCCCGGGTGAGCTGATAACACTGATTTCACTGGTGCATATGGAGTGACAGATTGCCTCTCCTGGAGTGCATTTCCATCTGTGGCAAAATTACAAATTAATTTGCTGAGTTTTTTTTGAGCTCTTTGATCAAGGTTACTTAATCTGTGCCATAACTCCTCACAAAACTCCAGCACAGTAATTCTGACTTGCTACTTACGCTGATGTTCTCTGTGGAGTGTCATGCAGCATTCTTTGCAGCTATGTACAGGCATCCTTAGCAACACCTTTTTATCCTTGGAGAAATTTGACTTTATTTTTTTCCCCCTGAAAAAATGGTTGATGCTGCTTCTTCCTTATGGTTTTAATCATCACCTATATGAAAAGCTTCACAGTTGGAAAGGACGTAATAAAGCCTTTCAGGTCTTGTGTGAGCCATAGTGACAATATGCACTGGATTTCTGAAACAAAATCATGTTTAGAATAAGCATATGAGCAAGGGGCTTAAAAACTACAGCAGAGGCAGTGCCTTGACATGGGGTGTTCAAGGACTGAAGCTGAGTTAAGGGCTTTTATAGTCCAATCTGTCACAGAAACTCCATACCTTTTTCACTGCTCTTGACATGTGATGTGGCTCAGATGTTTTACCCAAGCTGTCAGGTCGAGCAACAGCCCTCTGAAATGAAATACCCCACTGGACCAGGGAGACTAGGGAATGGATTAGCAACTTTTTGATAAATATGTGATAAATGCCCATTTTCCCTTAATTTATGTATGGATCCACTGAAGACGTGGATAGTAGATGTTGTTTAACCAGGTATTACCTTCCCAGCTGATGAGATCCACTGAGGCCATTCAAGGGCCAGTGTCCAAAGGCAGTCAGTGAGTTATGGTGTTCAGGCTTTGTATCAGGGCTGATGTGAGAAGCAAGAAGATGAGATATTCCCGAAAGCACAATTTTAGCTCTGGATGTGGATACCCCAGGGCATGAGGGGAACCCACCATAAGTGTGGCAGGCTCTGTCCGTACATGGTGCAAATGCACCATCCACCTCAGCTTGGCTATACCAGGAACAAGAAGAGTTTCAGCTTTGCAAGGTGGCAACTGCAATGAGGCAGCTCTGACCCCTGGAAAAGGGGATTAGAAGCAATGACAAATAGTTTTGCGTCAGGACCTGTGTTCCCCTGTATCCCATGTTGTCTACAGATACCAACTGCCTGCAGGGTGGTTAACAGGACAGCCTGACACCGGTGTGACATCACCACATCACCTCCTCTCCATCACAGGACTCTTTCTATAGGTCCCTATGATAGCACATATCTGGCTGCTGGGTGAGGGGCTGAAGCTCAGTAGTCCAGGGGCAAGAAGCAGTTTGTCTGTCTGCTACATCGTCAGGGATCTTCTGCCTGGTCACTGCATGCTTCCATGGACAACCATGCTGGAAACACCCAGCCTTTGCTTTCAGCACAGAGCATTTGCCTCCCACTTGGGGTGTTGATGGAACAGTCCAATGTATTTTCTGCCTGAGCGTGGAACTGCCTAAATAGCCACTTTCAAACAGGGTTGAAATGCAGTTTAAAGATGCTTGTGAAGAACAGTTGCACCTGCCTGTGCTGCACTGGTATGAGCACACAGGTGTTGGTTTTTCTAATAGCACAGGTGTGCTGCTGGGACACACAGCCTCAGCCAGGCTTGACTCACACACTGGTGCAATACCAGTGACCCTTGGGAAAGCCATTATGGTCATCTGGGTTGTATTCAGTAATACACAAGTTGTCCCTTTTAGTTACCATGCCAGGTTTCCAGGAGGTTCTCCGCAGCTGCAGCTGCCCTCTTGTCACCTTGTGCATGGCAAGCCTGCCTCCAGGAAGAAGCAGGGGTCCCCCAAGCCTCCACAGACTTCCCTGGCTTAAATATTCACTGTGTCCCTAGAGTTAACCAAGAGTTAGCTGGTGGTTAGAGTGCACCCATGGTCTGGGGTGGGGGAAAGAACATCATTATCTCTGCATCCACTTGTGTGAGTACTTCTTCAGTGAATACTGCACTTTTTCCACAGTGATTCCCTCCTGGGCTGGGAAAACCTTTTCTGTGCCTTCTACTGGAGCAAGTGTTAATAACCATAAGTAGCCCCGACGATGTGGCTGTGAACGTGCACCATGTACAGAGATGTCAGTGCACCATGTACAGAGATGTCAGCGGGTGTGTGTTAGCACTGGCCTTGGTAGGATCCCTGTTGAGTTTTGGCAGAAGCTACGCTGCTTTCTCATCCCCTGTCACTGTTGATGTTCTTCTCAGGTTTTCCTTGACTTTAATGAATTCTGGTGCATGGTCTTCCTGCTTCTCCTGCTCTTTCTCCAGCTGTAAGAAAGAAGAGTCACTATGCATATGAAAGGACAAAAGGACATCAGATGCATTAAAACAGAGGGCTTCATTATTGATGGGTTCAGTTATTATTGCCCAAAGTTGAATGAGTGTGTAGTGCACATGTTGGGGCTCTCTTTTTCCAAATTATCACAGCAGACCTATATTCACCCTTAGTCTCTTTTTGTGTCCTGCTGAAACATTAATTTCTTTTCTTTTTCCTCTAGGGAGGAACATCTCCATCACAAAAGCAGGGGAGGGGTTCACTTCAGACATGGCTTGGGGGAGGGAGGAGGAGGTTTTAATCCTTCCCAGCAAAGGAGGCCTGTGAGCCTGGGAAAAGCTCTCAGCAGTTGTTACTATCTAAGGCAGGGTAAATCATTGTACTGCCTCACTTTTATGTGCAAAGTCTTTATGGATCTGCCCCTAAACCACCTTGTTTCATATTCCTGGTTCTTCTCTGAGAGTGCCAGACTTTGGTTTTCAAGTGATCACGGCTTGACTGACATTATTATTGTGTTGTTAATTAAATAAACTGGTTTCATCCATTTGCAGTGCAAATACTGGCAAGCAGGTCAGAGTGACTTTACTTTCAGTGGTGATGAGTCTGCTCCCTGATTGCACTGGTTTGGGTGAGAGGGCAGGCGTGGAGCACCTGGGGCCTGGCTGTGCTGCTGGAAGTGCACAGTGAATATTGCCTTCCCCAGGCATACTTTTGGCCAGGGTACATGTCAGGAACTGCACCCAAAAGCAGCCTCTCACACTACACCTCAGGGTTCCGAGCACCCCTTTAGTGGATGTCACAATGGCTTCCATGCTATTTAGGCTGCTTCAAACTGGAAAACACACCCCAGGGACACTGTGTGGGACCCAGAGGAGATCCAGGGCTAGTGGTGTGTGACAGGGGTTCTGGGTGGGGTGGTACAAATGTGGTGGATCCCACTGCAAGGATGAGGGTGCTGCAGCTGCTTGGGGCAGCAGTGAAGGATGTACTGTGGCTCCTGGTTTTATGGAGGGGTAGCAGCACTATACCTTGGGTTGAGCCTCAGCCAACCCATCTCCCCAGTGCCTTGTGTTGGGTGGTTAGGATAACCCAGAAATGGCTGAAAGCTCAGTTCTACCTGATCCAGCCTCTGGTGCCTCTTTAATAGCTCTTTTTCAAAAGGAGACTGCAATTTCTTTGCCTCTTCCTCTTCCTTTTTCTGTTTGATGAGCAGATCTCGCCTTCGGTGTTCAAGCACCCGCTGCAGCTCTGGCTTGCTGTCCACGCCCAAACCTCTGTGAATAAAATGCAGATAAATCAGGGTCAGAGTGCCTACACCCTGGGGAGTGACCAAATTGCCAGCCTGGCAACCCCAAAACTGTTCTCTTTCCTAAATGGAAACATGGGAGACCTGGTCCACGAACCAGCCCTGGTCCACAGATCCATCCACAAGGTTTGGGGGTGTTACAACACTGCAGGGATGGTGCCTTGGGCTGCCTGTCTGGGGTGGGCACAGTTTGCTGTCCCTGTATGGCGTGTGCGGTGCTGGAAGTTCTGTGGATCCCATTGCACGGGGGCACTACAGCTTTCTGTGTCAGGTGTGGAAATGGGACCTTCCATTGGCTCCCGCTGTTGCTGGTTTTAGTGGTGTCAGGTACGGATTCAGCTGCGTTGAAGACGTTTGAAATAATGACGATTTTTTTCCCACCAGCAGGGGTAGTCATTGGTCTGCAGTAATTGTCCTGGCAGCTCCTTTCCTCCCCGCGCATCCTGTCTGAAGCTTTGCTTCGTCTGAAGCCTTGCTTCGGAGCTGAGGGCTGGCAATGCCCCCATTGACATGGATAGTTTGAGTCAAGAGGCCAAAATTAAATGTCCTTTTCTCCTGGAAGCTGGAGGGTTTGGTGATTGCGCAGGTGCCTGGCTCCCCTTTGTTGCCTGAAGCATCTCAGGTGAATCCCTGTCCTGTGAGGGGTGGAATCATGGAAAAGGAGACATAGCAAGGCCATGCAGGCAGGGCATAAATACGTGGTAAAGAGATGGTAGAAATTCTCTGAACAAGTTTCAGAAACATCACACTTTGGATATTGCCATGGCTGAATTTAGACACTCAGATTTACCTCCTGCAGCTGACCCTGGCCACCTTCCCACTGTCTTCTTCCCCACTGGAAGCGTGTGAGTAATTGTGGATGGTGTTTGGTATTCCTGTGGGTGAAGGTCTATTTTGAGCCGAGGAGGGACCTCCCCATGCCTGTGCTAAGGGCTTGCCCAGGGCATGGCAGGTTGGGAAGTGCTATTAATGCAAAACTCCTTCTCAGCACTGGGGGGGTCTCTGTTCACCAAAGGCTGGTTGGTTTTGGCTAAGGTCGTTTGAAAGCAGAGACATCAAACCTTGTGGGCTGCGGATTTCTGGGCAGGGTGGCAGGTACTGAGGTGGTACAAGAAACTGAACTGGCAGGCAGGAGAAAGAAACACTCTCCAGATGCAGCAAACCAAACCTCTGTTCTATCATAATGTGGCTGGGGATCAGTGCCAGGTTTAATAATACTTCTGACTGTAATTTCTTTTGCTTTATGACAGGACAAACTTCACAGCAACATCAGTGAAGGCAGTCCTAGCCTTGGCCCCAGAGCTTTCATGATGGTTTTTCAAGGCAGGAACAACTTGGATGCTGCAAAATTGCTTTTCCCAAGACTTGAGAGAAGGCAAACCTGCCTTGGCTTGCTGGAGACACACCATGCAATGTTGCTTGTGGATTTGTTACTATTCTTTGATTTAATCAGCCGGTGTTGTTAGTGCCCAGAGGTGTTGACTAAGATAAGGATTTTGTTACACAAGCTGCTGATTTGAGTTGCTTCTCCCCGCTGCTTGAGGGGAAAAAACCAACCAAAGCAGAAACAGGAGCAAGTCATAGACCCTTTTCTCTCTCTTTCTTCCCTCTCTCCCTCTTCAGTAACATGTATCAGGAAGCAAAACTGGTGGATTTGAGAGTGACAGGAAACCAACAACGATGGGTTGTTGTTTCCAGTACGGTTTGTTTCACATACTTGCTGAAAAATAGCTGGGAGGTCAGAGCCAAACCAGTTTTAAACTGAGGCATGAGGGGGGTCAGGGTGTGCAGGATGGCTGCAGTGGAGCTGCCTCCTGCCAGTACCTGATGGCACATGTGGATGTAACAGTGGCAGGCAGAGAACTGGAATAATAAAGAGAGATGATGTACTTTGTGTTTGCCAGTGTGAAGTCCAGCTCAGTCTGATGCCATGGGATCTGCTGCCATTCACCTCTGTGGCTTCTGTTGCAGGGATTTCCTGTTTCTTTGTTCCATCATGGGTAGACTGTATCAATGTTCTTTGAGATCAAAGCCAATGCTGGTGGGTGACCCTTTAAACTGAGAAGTATCACTAGGGAGGAGATGGTCACTCTCAAGCCAGAGAGTTTTAAAAATATCTGGCTGGTATAGTTACCTCTGCCTTGATGCCAGAGAATGGTCCCTGTAATTCTTCTGATTCTGGGAAAATCAAATCAAACCCAAGCTCAGCCAGTGCCAGTATTGATTAATGCACCCCACTGGCAGGCTTGATTGTTCCCTGAATTAATATACGTGTCTGGTTCTCGAGATGACTGCAGTTCTTCAGAACAGAGGCTGTGCTCCTTTTAATTAGGCGGCCAAAGAGCTCTCGAGTCAGGGTATTTCAGGGCATTCGAAAAATGTCAATATAAAGCCAGCAGATTTCTTGCTGTGCTTAAAAGCCTCTGAGCTGAATATGATTTTATTGCACTGATGTTCAGACAGTTGCTGTAAAGGAATAATATGGTCGTAGGTTCTCAGTCCTTGGTGTGATTTTCCCGATGTTGTATCTGCACCCCCAAAAATTTAAGTTGCAGTGGTGGGGTAGGAAGTCAGGAATATGAATTCTAGCCTGTTTTTACCCACTTGTTATTTAGGGAATCAGTGATTAGCCTTCTCCTTATACAGATGATCTCACCCCAGTGCTCCCCCAGCTTTCAATGGCTCGTTCCAACCTGCACTTCTTCCTGCCTCTGGATTGACCTTCAAGCACACAGGAGTGATGTACATTGCTGAGGACTTTGCAAGTCAGTGGTGGAGACAGAATAACCAGAAAACCTTCATGTAACACCAAGAGTGGGGCTCTCTAGGGATGCCTTGCCTCTTCCAGTGCCTGTGGCTCTGAAAAGTGCCAGCTGATGCTTCAGCGTGGCAGAGCAGGGGCTTTCTCTTCTGCTTTTGTTTTAAAAGAAACTGTCACATCCGAGAAAAGAGGAAAGGTCTACGGCAAGTTTTATGTTTACAAGTGAAGGGATTTATCGTGCCCTGTGCACCTGTGCCTCAGCTCCTGAGCTCCGATGGCTCAGCACCTCTTGGACTGTTCCAGTGGCGGGCTGTTACCTCATCTTACCTTTTGTGGTTCATCAGCAGCTCTCTGTGCAGCTCTTGATGGCTCTTCGAGGCTTTTACAGGATTTAGGAGCTTTTTAGGTTTGATGAGGTCTGGGTTTCCATCTATGTAATCTGGGTGAGTCAGGATATTCCCACCATCTGGTCGCTCCCGTTGTATTTCAGTGTACATCGATGCTGGAAGAAAAGAGAGGTGTTTGTGTGAGAAGTCTCACCCTGCTTGGTGTGGGAACCCACTGGAGCTCTCCTCCCCTGGGCAAGACAGAGGAGAAGAAATGGTGCCTGTCCCAGCTGCTTGACACCGTGTCAGTGTCTGAGTGCACGTGCCTTCGTGTGCTGGTGCGGGTTTTTTAGAGGTTTTAAAAAATGTTCCCTTTGTGTTGTTGATAAGACACATATTAATTAGATCACTAAAATTACTTGCCAGCCACTCGCTTCAGTGGCTGCAGCATTTAGTGCCAAGGATTAATTAATGCAAGATAGGTCTGACTAAAACTGGAAGCAGCCACGGATGTGGACTGTGCTGAGCTGCTGCTTTGGGTGTCCTGGCTGCCGCTGTCAGTCCCTTGACACAAGGGGATGCTGTGGGATTTGAAGGGTTTCTGAAACACTGGCTTGAGGAAGTGCTGCTGCATCTGAAACCTCTTGACAAGGAAAGATTTTGCTGATATCCTGCTGACCAGGATCGAGCCCCGTGCCAAGAAAAGCACCATTCGCCCAGGCAGTCTGGGATCACGCTGTAATAATTTGTATGTTGGATGTAAGAACAAGAGCCTCCTGTTTTGGAAGGGATGGCAGCTTGGATTTCAGGCAAACCACAGGACATGCTCACTGTTGGTGTTTTCCAAGTGCTTTACATTTTCTCTTTACAAAAAACCCTATACAAAGTGAGTGCAAAGCACAAGTTATAAGACAAACTACATGTGGTGGGCTGTGTCTTTAAATGCAGAGCACAGTAGATCTGCCTCCAATTATTCAGTGTACGGTCTAATCAGGGGCTCAGAAAGAGCAATTTATTCCTGACTATTCACTTGAACAATTTGGAAGTTTACCAGTAAGAACAAAAAGTCCCAGGAAAAGGGTGTAGGCAGCTTTAGGTCTTTAAATGTCTCATTATTAAAGTATTTTTTGGGGCCTAGGATGAAGTTATATGGGTTGATGGAGCTGCAAGGAAAACAGTTGTTCAGTAATGCTGCCTCTTTCTCTTATTTCAATCTCATATATAAAAGGAATAAAACCTTTTTAAAAGAGAAATCAATAAAAAAAGGCAAGAGAAAGCAGACTAGGTCATTCTTTCATAGTCAGTTAAGTACTTATTAAATGTGAAGTGGATTGCAATCAAATGGGATTGTGTAAGGAATAATACTGCTGAAGAAATGATTCAATATCAAACAACTTCTCATTGTGGCCAGTGCCCTACTGCTTTGGGAACAAAAGAAAACAAATCAGAGCTCATTACAGGAGTGTAATTGGGGTGAATAGTTCGGTACATATTTAAAGTGCCCCTGGAAGCTGGAATCGGTGATTTTTTTGTATCAAATTATTTTCCTCTAGGGTCACACATCACTGCTGGCAGAAGGGAAGGTGGCATGATTTGATGTTTGGTGGCAAGTGCCAGGCTGACTGAAACCCCTGCAGGGCCGGACTCCTCAGGCTGAAATTGGGGGCTCAGCGTTGCCTTCCAGAGAGATGCACAGACTGAAGAACAGCCAAGGGTTAAGGCAGCACAATTTCATGGCTAATTCTTGTTAGATGAAAACCAGGTTTTGAACAATGAGAAAAACATATCAGATTTTCACTGGGATAAAATTGCTTTGTTTTTTTTTCTTGTACTTCTCCCCTTTTTTTTCTTTCTTTTTTCACAGAAGAAGAGGCAGTCAAAAGACAAGGAAGGAAGGTACAAAAGCACAGGTTTGTTTTGGCATGAATGAGACGGTTGAGCTCCTGTTTCAAATGGCAAAGCTATGTCTTCATTCTTCAAACAAAAAGTCTCTCCATGGAGTAACTTAAATAAAATGCCAGGTGTTTTTAATGGAAACACTGTTTTTGGACAGCTATACTAATGGACTAACCTCAATGCCACTGTGTCATCCCACTGCCCTTTCTGGCTGTTCCTGTGCTGTCGTTTAGTCCAGAGCTGCCTCCAGTGACACAGATGCCCACCTTGGCTTGTGTGCTGAGTACCAAATCCTGACACATGTCAGGAGAAGGGCTGGGGCATATCCATCTTGGATTTGTCCATCTTAAATCCGCCTGTTGTGCTTTGCTAGGGGATAATGCAGCAAGCAGCAAGCGTGGAAGGATTACACAACCAACCAAGCCTGAAGGACCAGCCTGGATGCTGTAAATGTCTGAAACTCAAGTGACTTTGGTATTGTTTTCTGGACTGAGTAGCTCTCATGTCCTATGCCAGCTCTTGGGGCACTGGGGCAGCACTTTTACTTATAAAGTACTGTTTTTCCCCTGCCTCCATGAATGGAGTTTGGGTTTCATTTTGCAACTCAGGAGTGGGAGTCCCTTCTCCCCCAAGATCCAGATCCTGAGTGATTCACTTGGGGTAGGCTGTCCCCATATCCACATAGGTCTAACACTCAGCAGTGTACAACCCCATGGCACAGTGTCATCCAGCCCTTCAGTCTGATCTTGTGATGTTTTTCCCAGACACCCAGGATGATCAGAGAAGGGCCCCCCTTCCATCTTGAGGGACCCTCTGCTTATGCAGCATTTGGGGGGAGCACTCTGGAGGTTTTGAAGGGGCTAATGGGGTTATTTTGAGGCTGCAGCAGTCTAATGTTGCGTGGCTGAGGCTTGCAAAGAAGCAGCAATTTATCAGTCTATTTATTGAAGGCAGATGGGGAACTTTGCACTGAAACTAGTACAAATTAAGAAAAAAACTAGGAAGGGAGGAGTGGGAGGAACTGAAATGGACTGGAAGCACTTCTGGCCAGGCGCTGTTAAACCAGCATGCAAAAGTCCTCACCAGGAGTGCAATTTGCCTGAACAATACTGCAGGGGCCAGGACACAGCAGGTAGCTCTATGCTTGGTTTTCATTTTGCTAGATGTGCCTAGGGGTGTGCAGACACCCACCTTGAGGTTTGGCTTCCAGTGGGTGTCTGTACTGATGCCCTGGGGACAAAGTCAAAGTCCTGACTGGGACTGGAAGGAGCCTCGAACCTCTAGCATTTTAAACCTTCAGAAGCCCTCAATTTGGAACAATTCAAGGAAAGTCTTTCTTTGCGTTGAGCAGAAAAACAAAAATGAGAATATAAAGATATTGGTGTACCCGAAACACAGCTTGGGGTTGTGCTGGGAGTAAGGACAGGGCATCCTTTTTCCTGCAGGTTGGCAAATAGGGACCCAGTGCAAAACGTTTCTCAGGGAGTAGATCTATCATCTTCAAGACCTGATGTAATTCTTGTCCATGTAAGGGGAGACAGACTGCTATCATGCTGCTTTTTGTCATTATTTATGGTGCTGGAGGTGTAAATCAAGCCAGGTCTCTGCAGTGGATTTACAGCAGGGTGTCTCTTTTTGCATGATTCAGATGTAGATCAATGAGCAAGGCTCTGCTCTGGCACCTCCCTGGCCACCATCATAAATCAGCAAAAGATGTTGGACATTTTTATATTGTTCTTGGCAAGATATAACCAAAAAAATACATGTGAATGTTAATATCTTCTGCTGTACTCAGAAAGACAGTGTGACCTTTGAAATAGGTCTGCTTTGGAGTGTTGCTTATAAAAAGTAGCTCTGTTTTCTTCGACACATTCAGTCTTTTGCTTACTTTTAGATATTTTCTCTCCCCTCATTTCTAGAAGCCCGAGGCTTTCTAAGAAGGTGTGTTTCCAGTTTCTTTTCTGTTAGTAAAAAGCAAGACTGGTGGGATGAGGATGCCAGGGACCCTGGCAGAAACTTAGGCTTCACATGTGGGGTTATCTCCTCTCTCAACTGTATCTGTGAAATGAGCTCCCAGTCTTGATTAGTTTTCTAGGAGACCCCATAGGGAATTTTCAGCATCTTTGACATGGCCCAGAGACCAGCCACCTTCCTGCCCCAGGGTGTGGGACTGGCTGGAGGACAAAACCAACATTTTAATATCTTGGTCTGTTCTGACCTAAAGCAAAGCCCAAATTCCTGCTCAGACTGCCTGGAAATGCTTATAAATCCCCCAATTCCTGGGAGAGTTGCACTAAAATCATCAGTCTGAAATCCTGGGGCAAATTGTTTTCACTTGTGATTATGCTCAGCCCTAATCTTTTTGAGGAAAGGGATACCAGGCAGCTTTGGTGCAACATTAAATGCCTTTGAATTTTGCAAATATATATTAAATATACTCTACTAGGGGCATAACACGAGATGTGTTGCTCCGGGTGCTGAGTGACTTTTGTGCGGCCCAGGGCAAGGAGAAAGGTTTTAGCCTGCTCCTGGAAAGGAGGAGGAAGAGGAGGAGGAGGAGAAGTGGAGGGCTGGCTCATGCCCAGGGTTTGGCCTGGCCGGAGCTGAGCCACATTTCCCTTTGCAGCTGCTGCTTTTTGGTTTTCCCTCACTTGGAGGAGATGCCCTTCACAGAGCATTTATTTAGGATTAAGCAACTTGTCTCTCAGTGGTGGGTTGCCCTCTGCATCAGGACCGTGTGCTGCTCCTTGCGCTGCGTCTGGCAGCCTGCTCTACTGTCCAGTTGGAATGGAAATAATCCCCAGGAATGTTAAGAGGATTAACAGTCCTGGAAAGGGCAGGTAACCTGAGGGGTGCAGCTCTGCTTACGGCTGTCTACATGGCTACAGCTGTTCTTTACAAGGGGAAAACCTTCAGAGGCTGGAAACAAAATTAATCCATAGATGTTGGGTTTAGGAAGCTGCACCTGTGTAGAAGAATGGATGGTACAGCAGGACACCAGCTGCTTTTTGCAGGTTTTCATGTGAAATGCCTTCTCTCCCTGACTTTTGTTTTGCCAAGCTCTCCTTGACATCCTGCCTCCTGTGACACAGTCTGCACATCCCTCCACACTTGTCCATACCACATGCATCCTTAACCTGCAAAGCTCTCAATGCTGCCTTTTGCAGCATAGGTCAGTGTTCAGCTTTGACTGAAATCTAGAAAGCAAACATAGCTCACAGTGGTTTATTTCTGCTGTCTGTGTAATTTGAGAAGTGATTTTCCAATTAGAGCATCTTAGGAGAGGTTTGCCAGTAGGGCCAGATGATGACCAAACTGCTCTTGTCAAAAATATTGTATGGGCATCCCTTTCTGGGCAGAGAATGGGCTTCTGTGAAATGCCACCCCCATAAAAACAGTCAGAAGGCATTATTTTGGGAATGGGATCCATACTCAGAGGACATTGCCATCTGTGATTCTGGGAGACCCTGTTACTTGGTAGAAGGAATCAGACTGGGCAAAAACCTCAGGGACATCCAGGGTCAGAGCCCTGGGTCTGGGTTTGTAAAACCAGTGACCCAAGAGACTGCTTCGTGGGCAGAAATGATCACTTAAAACTGTGGTTACAGGGAAGAACTTCTGGTTTTCTGGATTCCTGGGATTTATTAATGAATGTGTCTTTTTTAAAGGACCAAGAGATTAATGAAGTGCTGCTGAAAGCAGCTGGTCATACATGTCCTGCAAGTCAGGTGGCTGCAAAACCAACACATCAGGACGGGTCAGCAGAGCGAGTTTAAAGCTATTTACACAAGTAGCCTGAGCCTGGGAAATAATGTGAGTTTCTGACACATTTAAAAGTTAACAAACTCGTAACTGCAGTTCATGGGGAGGAAACCTTCCCTTTTCTGGGCTACAGATCCTGATAGCATCGGCTCCCTGAGGAGCCTTCCTGTCCCCGCAGTGAGGGTGCCATCCCTCACAGCCCTCTTGGGAAGGCTGAGAGGAATGGGACCTGTCCTCACTCCTTGCAGTGGTTTGCATGTGCAGGTGGAGGTGTGGGGGATCTTTAAACTGGCCTCTATTACTTTTAGGCACTAGCACATTTCTACCTGTTAACCAGACGTTCACTTCTTTTTCACTTTAGGGTATGTCAATGTGTTTGTCAATGCATTTCAAACGCCTGAAGTGGAGCCAGACTTTGGCTCTACGCCTTTTCCTGTGAGAGTGTAATGTCAGACAAGGTCATGCTGTATGTTAAGTCCTACAAAGAATGAAGCTGAAAGTTTGTCTTTTGTTTTGGATTCTTCAATTGATGACATTTCCTAATTTGCATGACTTTTCTAGTGTTAGTTAATTGTATTTGAGAAACACAGAATAGCTGGGTTGGCAACGTGGGGTAGGGAAAGAATTGCATGTTGGTCTCTGAAAGCCCCAAAGCTCTGTGTGTTGAAAGCATCTTTCAGGTGTTTATCTGTGTGGTCGGTGGGTTCAGGGCATAGTGAGGCACCCAGGTGCCAGCTTGGGTGAGTCAGATGTGGGTGCTGCACAATGGGGAGGCTCACAATGCCTGGACACCCTTTGGTGGGTGAGTCACTGCAGCTGAGCCCACAAAATATGCCCTATCACCCCAGCTAGTCCATGTGCTGCTGTTACACAGCTGATCCCAGAACAAAATACCTGTAATTCACATTATCTTAATGACTACTGTGGCTTACTGCTCTGGTGATGGATGATGATGATGAGGTTAATAGTGGTTATGATGATGATAATAATAATAATAATAATGATAATAATAATAATAATAATGTGAGCCTAAAGATTGACAGATGCTAACCACTACCTTCCCTGGGTGAGATGGCACCAGCTCCCATCCTCACCGTGATTTTCCTCTGCTCCTGCCGTGTCGGCAGCTCAGGAGCACCTCATACCGATGGACCTGGCACACTCCCCCCTGCTTGTCACCAGGCGACCGCATCACCGATAAATGATACGTGTGCTCTGGGAAGGAGGCAAAGAGCCTTTGTCTGCTTTTAATCTATAGTTTTAAATAATTAAGCAAGGCTAATTCTGGTATTTATAATGCAACAGGGTGAGTGTAACTCGATGTGGCCGCCGTGGGAAGCAGTTCCCAGCTATCGGGTGGCTGCCTCGGGGCAGCAGGCGCGCACAGCCCGGGTCCCCTCGCCTTCACTCAGCCCTGACGGTCAGGAATAAACCCCATGAGGTCACGGGGTCAGAAAGGGAGAGAAAACCCTAATGGAAATGTAAAACAGGGCTGGGGGAACACATCCCTGCAGCTCCCAGCACCGCTGCCACATGTCAACACTGTTCCTACCTCTGCCTCTCTTCTGAGTGCATGCTGGGGATGAGGCCCCTCACCAGTATAGCCCATGTTGTTCACCAGTACAGTCTGAGCTTCCCACCAGTACAGCCAGTGTTCTCCCACTATTTTAGCCACTCTCCCCAGTTCAACCCCAGTTCCCTGAGTCCTGCTTACCCTTGCAGAGTCTCGTGCCAGCACCGCAGACCCCAGGGCCGAGGCCCCCCAGTTACACCAGCACCAGAGGGCACAGAGTGGGCACTGGGCTCAGCCCGGGCTGCCCATGTGTCACCACCTGCAGTCACCCCAAGGGTAAAGAACTCTGGATGTCATGGTTACTGAGCTTTGCACTCATGCACGTGTATTTGGAAGAGAGAAATCTCATCACGTTTGAGGCTTGCTGGGCTCTCTGGGGTGTGGAAGTTACTGACTGGAAATGCTTGTGCTGTCAGGCAGCAGCAAGTGCCCCTTTGCTGTCAGGTTGGTTAATCATTTCATTTAATTACCTTGGACTGTGATAAGCAAAGATAGAAAGGCTCAGATCTCACTCTGTTAGCAATCACCAAGACATCGCATGCCTTTTACAAGCGGCATGTGAAGCACTTGTTCAGTTTTGTTGGGCAGTGGCAGATGCTCAGCAGTCCTTCTTGACAATCATAAACTTACTTTCAATCTCTCATCAAATATTTGCTCTGTGCATTTGCCTGCCTATGTCAGATATGCACACCAATCAGTAATGAATACTTCAAGGTAGTTCAAAGGTATTTCGTTAAATACAGAGAAAATCCTCCCACGATGATTTGCAGGCATTGTAGTAGCCCCCTGTCCAGCCCAATGCCTCTCCAAGAAGAGGGTTTGAATTGCAGCATGGGTTTACAAAGGGAATTTCTTGCAGGATATGTTTGGAAAGGCAGAAGCAAAAGGTGCAGCTTCTCAAACAGCTACTGAAGTATTAAAGTAACATGATATCTCAAATAAAATTAAAACAGAGTCCCAAGTCACCTGTGCATAAACATGTATGCAGTGCAGAGCAATCCCATAGGGCTCAGCAGCCCATCCCACAGGAGGGAGCAGCAGAGAAGTGGGGATCCCCCGGGGTAGTTCGGGGGGCCCTGAGCTTACCTGATTTCCGCAGCGTGGCCCTGGGAAGCCCAGGGGGCAGGTGCTGCCCCGCGCCCCACGACATGGGGCTGTGGGGGCTGAGGCTGCCGCTGCTGCCTGGCTGCACTCGTGCCTACGTGACTTTTGGCTGGGTCCGACGAAGCTGCCTGGCTACTGCCAGGTGTCTGCAGTGGGAGCCTGGACGGGAGGTCACGTGGAGGTGGCTGCTGCACCGGCGCTCCCTCCTTGCTGCTCTTGCCACCTCACAAGGACCCCACTGAGGGCTGGAGCTCAGCTGGCAGCAGCCGGTGGCCTTGCTCACTCCTCAGTGCTGGTCCCAGAGGTCCCTCTGCAAACTTGTTCCCTTTGCTCTTTGTTGCCAGATGATGTTTTCCCAGGACGGATGAACAAGCGAATCACTCCTTCTCCCCAAAGCAAACAGCTCTGTGTGTGCCCAGGCACTCAAGCCGCCCGCTCGGCACAGCCGCTGCTGCTGGTGGAGAGGTCGTGTCCCTGCTCCACGGAGGATGATTTCTCCTCAACGTGCCTTAACCACTCTCCTGGAGAAATCAGATCGCCCCAGAGGAAGCCGCACGCCCACTCTCTTTAGCAACCACTGCAACAGCCAAGCCGGCACCAGGGCAACCGCTCGAGTTATCGTGATTATTCCCTGGCTTGTTGCAACACCCTGTCATCAACCAACTGCTGCACGGCCCAGGGGAGCAGCTGCTGCACCCCAGGGGTAGGGGCTGCAAGAGGGAGAAGCAGCCCCTACACGGGGTCATGGGTATCCTGGTGGCATCAGAGCTGTGTGATGCCACATCATCGCTGCCCCAGGTCTCTTCCAGCTGAGATGCAGCCCTTGCTTGAATTGGGCTTCTTGTTCCCATCCTTGCTGTGGCTGGAGGTACCATGTTGGCTGTGAATTGCCACAGCCTGGGAAACCAGAGACTGCAAAGCTGGAGGAGGAGAAGCAACCACCTCAGCAACTCCTTTTGGCTCTTAGGTGGATGCTGTGGTCCAGTTCTGCCCAGGTTGCCCAGTGCCAATCTGCAGATGCCCAATGTCCCAGTCCCAGGAGGGTCAGGGATGGAGCACAACCAGAGGAAGGCATAAGGATAGCTGGGGGGGCACTGCTGAGGTGCCCAGGCATCTTCACACACCATGGCACCCATGGTCTGTCTCAGCTGTGTCCTGACCTGACACTCCCGGCCCCATGAAAGACTGGAGAAAGAGGCCAGGCTGCCAATGGACCACAGGGGTGCTCTTTTACTCATTTTCACATCTTTTACTCATTTTCACATCTCCACAATTTGCTCCTCTCCATGTCCCAGCATTTCTCCCCATTCCAGCCATGTTTCTCAGCAAGGGTCTCAGCAGCACCAGGTGTGAGCAGAAGCCCCAGTCCCTCCCAGTTCACCTCCAAAGCTCTTTGTGGGGCAGCACAGGCTGCTGGCACTCACCTGAACCATCACTCCCTGGCTTCTTGCTCCCACTTGGACTCTTGGACTGAAGGGAATACTCTTTCTGGAAGAAAAGACAAGAGAGGAGTGGGAAAAGACTGTACAGATATTGCTGTATTACAGGAGATGAAACATAGGAGGCATTGCTGGTCCTTTGCTACTAAAGACTAAAAAAATTATTATTCTTTTTAACCTCCTGACCAGGAGCTGTTAAATTTAATTGACATGGGGCATTAGATGCAGGAGACAAGAGGCAGGCTGGTCCACATTCTACTGTGTGTGGTGTGTGTCCCTGTGCTTGTGTGAGCACAATCATCCAGACCCGTCCAGCCATGGGTTAAACAAGGGCAGGGTTTGGCAGACCCCATGCAGCTTTTGCCTCTAAACCAAACCTGTGGTGAAGGAGAGGCTTTTAAGTGGGAAGGTTGTGCAGCTTTTCTGCTCAAACTGCAGCCTGCCTCACAGCCCATGTGTGCCTCAAAAGCTTTCTGTGGCCAAGCAGACTCCCGTCATGTCACCTATTGCCCCGTGACCTGGCTGCTCGTTGCACACTCCAACAATACCATTTGGTACTTTGAATGGAAAAAGAAATCTATGCACATCTGTACTACTCCCCTTGGATCATCTTTGAACAGGCTTTGGTTCTGTGAATTCGCTGGAGATGTGTCAAAGGGGGAAAAGAGCATCAATTTAAACCTGCTTTGAGCTCCGAGGTAAGGGTGGTTATTGCTGGTGGATGTGGGAATGGAAACCATCAACACCTGCTTTTGATTGAGTAAAACAAATCAGAAAAAGCCAGCTAAATTTTCTGGATATACTTCTGTCTGATCTGCCCTGGTGCCTGATGAGTTGCACATCTGGGCTCCTCTCTGCAGGAAAGTGAGTTTGTGGGATGTTTAGGACCTGCTGTCCTAAACCAAAGGACTTTCCATGGCAAAGCTCTTTTTCTGGGAGCTCCTTGCTGAACAATTATCTTTACTATTTGAATTAGTTAGTAATCTCACTCTGTGCTCCTGTGTCTTTGGGATTAACAAAAAGCCTTTGTATTGCCCCTGTAGCTCCCTGAAGGTTATTGTGTGAGGGCAGTTGATTGCTGGGTGATATTTATTTGGAGTGGCTCCTGCAGACAAGGAGTTGCGTCAGTCACCAACTGCCCCCATGTTTCTAATGAGTATTGGGAAGAGGAAAGACCACAGCAGGGCCCTTGTTACTGGGGCTGTACATTAGATTGACTTTTAGCTGCTGAGTTACTGTGCTAGTGATTTTGGCTGCTGGCTGTCGTCTCTTTAGCCAGTTGCTGTGGCATCAGGAGCTTTATGGTGTATTAAAACAGCCCAGACATGCCAAGTGAGTGCCCAACACCAATCTTCCAGGGATGTGTAATGCTGATGCAAATACAATGACAGTGAGATAATGCTGCCCCCGGGATGGGCTCGCTGTCTGCCTGACTGAGGGGCCTCTGTGCAACTGTGAGTGACAGAGCAGACAGCTCTGCCTGGTCCTTCCTGCCTGGATCTTTATTAAATCTCTGTGCTCAGCACAGGTTTGGGAGTGCAGCACTGCTACCAGTCAGGCTTCTGGTCTGTAGGCAAAATTTTGGCTCTGCTAAAGTAACCCAGGGCTGGACTTGAAGTAGACATTGTTTTACCTCCTGCTGCAGGGAGGTTCTAGAGGCTGGTTAAACATTTCCTCTGCTGGGTTAATGCTAGATGTTGGCTGAAGTGCTGCTTGTGGTGGTGGGGACTGGCTGGGCAGCCCAGCCTTACCTCCCACCCTGTGTGCCCTGGCTCCCAGCACAAACTCTGTGCAATCCCATTACAACCTAAGAAGTCGTGCTGGTTGCACTGTGGTGGTGACCTTGGTGGTGGCCACGCCAAGGCAGGGGTTGTGTGGGCTGGTCAGAGCTATGCTGGGTCTCTTACTGTGTCACCTCTGTGGTGCAGTGTGTCTGGTGACAACTCCTGCTAATCTCCACTTAAACCATTAGTGTGTTTGCAGAGCAGGACAGCTCCTTGCACCTCCCAGGCTCACAAGGGCAGTTAATGATTGCCCAGATGATGGAGACTTTTGCCTGCTCCCCATGCGACAAAGCAGGGTATGGAACTCTGTCCCCAGAGAGCTGGGCAGAGGAACAGGTACCACAGGAGTCAGAGGGCTAAATTTGTCACAGCACAGAGGGCTCAGATGGGGAGGGTGTTGCAGTAGATGGGCAGAAAATGCCTGCTATTTCTCCAAACCTCCTGTTTCCATGTGAAAATCACTTCTGTGTGCAGTGCAACTGCATCTTGCGAGGAGTAAGAAGTAATAATAAAATCTAGCATCAGATGGTAACACTGTGCCCCTCCGCAGGCGAGCAGGACAGTTCTGGAGTCATTGCTGATGGGAGCAGGTACCACTTCCAATCTGCAGCCAAGATCCTCCTGCGTGGGATCCCCATCCTGCTTTGACCCTGTCAGTGAGGACACCCACCACTTGAGCTGGAATTAGCCTGGTGATTAAATGGGTTAAATGCCACAAAGCAACACAAAGTATAAATAGTAAGTAGTCCCATGTTTTGCTTCTAAGGTAACATAGTAACACTGTTCTGTGTTACTCCCAAACATCCTGGACACCACTATATCCTAGCAGGACTCTTCCTGGCCCTGACTCTGATACACAGCAAAGAGCTCCTGCAGCAAATATCTGGAGGCAGTTTTACAGATGTAGGCTGCTTTTAACTACCAGTTCTAACCACCATCTTCATCCCTGGCTCCCTGCTCAGGGGGTGCAACTTAAAACCAACCACCCTGTGTAAACCATTAATCAGTGTTTGTTACTTGTCCCACGTGTGGGTGCTCTAATATTTACTTGCAGCACAATTGATAGTAATTTTGAACTATGTTTGTGTTCTGATGAAGGCAGGGAAATGAGCCATCAGTGTGGTCAGAGCATGAGCCATGGAAAGGGTGATGAAGATGGCTTCTGGCAGGTTCAGATCAATACAGGTGTCATTAAGGTGCAGCATCAGAGCATCTATATTGTATCTGTAGCCAAAGTCTGAAGAAATGAATTAGGCAAGAAATTTTGGCAATCAGATCATGGTGATAAAGAGGTTTTGAAGTGGGCAAAATGCCACCCAGGCTGAGAACTGATGTGACTCTCCCACAGACCTGGTTTTGGGAAGGAGATGCCATTAGCAGGGGTGGAAGCTGCTCTACCTATTTAGGAGTAGGTGGGCTCAAAGAGCTGCTTTGTCCTTAAGGTGCTGTAGCAGCTGCTGACATCAGTGAACATCAATGAACACATCCATTGATTAAAACAGTGTTTTTGCTTAACCCAGAGGCTTTGAAAGGAGTTGTCATGACCTGGAACAAGGCATTGATGGTTGGCAGATTGAAGCCAGCATTTCTGCGTGTGATGAAGCCACAAAACATGTGATTTAGAGGTTATCCCAATTGTACTCTACCTCTGTTTTCAATTAGCCCCAAATACCCTCTTGCTACTCCTGGTGCTCTGTATAAAAACATCTCTTATATGCTCCTGGATTCTGAGATACCATCTAAGCTGTTGCTCAAATTTCCTGTGTTATTGCTGAATTCTGGTCTATCTGTGCTCATTTGCAGCAGCTGGGACTGATCCAGAGACTTCAATGAAATCATCCACTGGAAGGAACTTTGGAGGATTAGTAAGACTTTTTCCCATCTGTGATGTCAGAGCACAAAAATCTGTCAGCTTGATTGTTTTGCTTCAAAATCCTGCCATGTGAGGTGTTGAGGTTTATTTGATTTGGCAAGCTGGTGCACATGTTTGCCGGGATGACACCGTCTTTTTGTCAAGGAGAAACAGAAAATCACCAGCATGCCACAACGCCTCATACTGCTGCTGATTCCCTGATGGCCTTGGCCAATGAAGTGCTGCAGTTTGGATGAATTTCTGGAATTTCTTGAGGGCTAGGAGAGGCAGTATAACACCCTGCTCCCTCCAGAGCTGGCAGACTAGACCTTGTCTTCCTTGTGGAGGTCACGACATAGCTTCTGTCGGGGCTGTTGTGAGAAACTGCCTGTTCCTCTCTCTTGCAGAGGCAGAGCAATGCTGTTTGGGAGGGTTACTCCCTGATGGGGAGCTTGACTATGCACATTCCTCTCTCCCAGTTCATTATGGGACACTTATTTTGGCAAGTTTCACAATCAGGACTGGCAGGCACCCAGGAGTCAGCGTCCAGGCACATCCCAGCATTCCTGAGCCAGCAGCTATGAAATCTGCTGCCACAGTGCTGCCCTTGTCATGGGAAGGGTCTTGGCAGGGTTCTGAACCACCACAGCATCCAGTACTTGCCTCAGCCCAGCCCCACTGCTCCCTGTCCTGGGTTGCTGGATGCTCAGCCACCCGTGCCCAGCCCCCTGTGCACACCTGCCCTGGGGAGAGCTGGTTTTTCAAGAGAAGCTGTGAGCTTGTATTACTCCTGTTTCCTGGCCACAACCATAGCTGATTTCACTATTGTATTGCAAAGGACTCTAAGAAATATCAAGTTATTGGTGTAACATTTCATTACTGGTCTTTTGACCTCTACAAGTCTGCAGCCTGTCTCAGACTGAAGTGAAGCTGAGGGCAGATGCTTGTGGCCACTCTCACAAGAGCAATCAGCAGCTTCAAGGATTTTTTTTACTACATCAGTTTGTAAATTTAGGTTTACAGAAGGAGAGGGGCTCTCAGTCTGGCTATGGGGCCAGGCTGACATTCCTGCAGCTCCCACATTGCTCTCGGGGAGCACCAGCCAGGTGGCCACTTTGCTGCCTGGTCGAGTAGAAAATTGCAAATGCTTCAAATAGTGCTTAGTGTTATTTTATTCGTGAAGAAAACACAATTTGACACAGATGAGCGCCGTGCTGACCTCTGCCTGTCTTTGTCACCAATGCCACTCCCCTCCCAAATCCCTGTGGCCCCAGAAGGCAAGCACAGCCCTCCTGTGGCCATGAAAGCTGGCAAATCGAGTCCCATTTCACTGACTGTCCAGAAAAAAGGACAAAATAAACTAGAGCAGGGAGGCAGCAGCATGGGAATGGGGGCTTGCTGGAGCTGCC